GCCACAGCCTGCTTTTGCTGAGACGGACAAAAGCAAGCTGTTGTGCGGAACCTGTATGCACTTTGGCTTAGAGTCTATTACTGAGGCCATTTAGATGTTACGGACGATTGGAGTTCTTACCACTAAGCCCAGAAACCCCAAATGTATTAGGACTCATGAAAAAGTACCAGAGGGGCCAGCAGGTGGCATGGTGGTCAAGGTGCTGAGCTCCAACATGCTTGACTGCACTTCGAGTCCTAGACCCAGCAGCTTGAAACAGTTCATTATACAAACAAAACTCTATGACCTGGTCCCTGGCTCCTTCCAATCACTTGTCTGCTGATAAGACTCTTCAGTTCAGCAATTCTCCAGCACTTTTTTTTTAAAAAAGAGGTTTTTGTTCTAGGGTGAGTGTGTGGAGAGACAGAGAGAGAAAAAGTGAGAAATCCCCCTCCCCGGGGGAATGGCCATGCCACAATCCCTTCTCATCCATTCTCCTCTCAGGATCTTGGGGACACATGAACATGGCCCCACTGTGATTTTGAAGCTGCCAGCTTCATGACTTGAACTGCAATCGGCCATGCGAAAGTCTAGTACTTTAATCACTATGCCACCTGCTGGCCCCCAGTAGATTCCTTTTAAATGTCAAGAAATTTCTAAGATTCTCATACATAACTACCCATACTTAACCACCCACTGAGTCAGCAGGGGATAGTAATTAAAGTTTAGGCTTTAAGTCAGCTGGGAAGTGAGCAGAGCTGGGGTAGGGGCTTCTCTTGGGGTCTGGAGAACGCAGAGAGAATTAGTCATGTCTTCTCTGATCAGAAGAGTGACGAGTACCGTGAAGGTCTCAAGAGCTAGTGTTCCCTACAGTGAAGCTATGTTAGTCCATGGGACCATTTACATTTCAGGACAGCTGGGCATAAACTCTTCAAGCAGACAGCTGCGCCAGGGCTGTAGTGGAAGAAGCTAAGCCAGCTCTTAAAAACATGAGTAAAATTCTGAAAGTTGCAAGCTGTGACCGCACTCATTCAGTCAAAACAATTGTTTTGCTGACTGACATAAGTGACTTCTTGGGGCCAACCCGTGGTGCGGTGGTTGAGGTGGCTGGATCCCTTGCGTCCAACTGCGTGGTTTGAGTCCCAGACTTGGTGGCTTGAAAAGCATACTGGGCAGATGTGCGTGTGTGCTCAAAATTTTGAGAGCATGAGAATTCAGGGAACTGCAACATAGCCATCCCTCTTGAGGGGTAATTTCTCACTTTTTCTCTCTGCTCCTCTCTGGCAAGTGCACATGACCTATCACAAGGTACAAATAAATAAATTTTAAAAATAAATAAGTGGTTTTGTTATGGTCAGTGAAATCTACAAACAGTATTTCAAGAGTAGATTTTCTGTTAGAGGTTACTAAGTTGCTGCTTTGCCCAAACAAGGCCAAGTTGAGACGTAAGCGGTAGTTGACCAAGGACCTCTCACACCACCACAATTTTAAGTGAGCCAGTGGTGTTTATTCTGGAATTTTCATTGTTCTTAAATTAGAATCTTAATTTTTACGATTGACGAAAATATGAGTTTGACTAAAATATTTGAAGTTATTATGGAAATACCATTTAATAGGGAGAGTTGAACATGAATTGAAGCTCGGATAATGAATCCACTTACTGACATTATAAATTACACTTAGTTTACACGTATCACTGAACATAGGAGAAGATCCTCATTACATAGTTACTTGAATGAATAAAAGTAGAGGCAAATAACGTATAGAAAAGCTTATTGTTCCTGAGAAATAATGAAGCACACATAATTAAGTTAAATCCTATTAACTTAGTGACATGACATATATGTCATCCCAGATATGTGATCTTGCTTTTACATGAGTAAAATTAAAGTACTTAAACTGAATGGTAGAGGTAAAGGAGAAGGATATGGACCAAAATTCTGTATGTGTAATGTTTTTTCCAATGAAAATAAAATATACATACAAATTATATAAAAAAAGAGGGGTCAGCAGGTGGCGTGGTGGTTGGGGGCGCTGGACTCCCACATGGCCAACTGTGGTTCGAGTCCCAGACCTGGTGACTTGCTTTCTCGCTTTCTCTCTCTCTCTCTCTCTCTCATTCTCACTCTCATTCTATCGCTCTCACTCTTGTTCTGTCCCTCTCTGGTCAAATGAAAATAAATAAATAAATGAATAAAGTTAAATAAAATAATTCTTTAAAAAAATTTAGAGATTTAAAGTACAACAAACCTAAACCATGCCTCTAACTAGTATTCTACTAAGGCTACTTTATAAGTTCAATGCCTATTAACTACATCATTATTGGTAGAAAAAATACAAAGAGACAAAAAGCCACTGGATTTAGCTACTTCAATTCATTTGTATTTTAGAAGTCAAGACAGCACCTGCAAACAGTTGAAAGATAATGTAATAATTATCTGTGACTGAGGTTATTTACTCAACAATGCTTGTGCAGATTGACTTGGACCCACTGCAGCAATTGCTCTGCATGGTCCCTGGTCCCTAGTGTTGGTACCTCTGATAGAGAAAAAGAGCACAGATTTTGGGATCTAGTAATCCTGGCTCTGCCACGTGCTAACTGTGCCATCTTTGACAGTTGTTTAACTTCTCTGGGTCTCAGTTTCCTCATCTCTAAAATAAGATAGAATACCTACTTCACAGGACTACCAGAGGATCTGGTAATAAATGTCTGTAGGAATCTGGCATATGATGGCTGTCAAATAAACATGAACCTGTTTTTTCATAGTTTGAGTAAAGCAGAACAATCAATGTTTGGATTAATTATTTAAATTACAGAAGGCCTGAACATTAAGACCCTCTTATCTAGAACTTGTAGACCCACTATCTGGAGTCAGGGAGAGAAATAAAGTATGTTCCATTTTTAAAAGTGCTTTAAATGTATCACTTTTGTTCCCTAGGGATGGTCATGCCATAATTCCTTCTCTTCCATTCATTCAGCCTCTACCTACTCTCTTTTAAATTATTAATTCATTTATTTATTGAGAGAGAGAGTGAGAGAAGAGAAAGAAAGAGACACAGCACCCCAGCAAGGTCTTCACGCCATGATCCACCCCAGTCTCAGCCAGCCCTGAGCACAAGCTCGTGGGTGTGCTTGGAGTGCTCACGGAGGTCCTGGGATGCAAACCCAGTATCTTTCTCATGTAGGGCCAGCTGTATTTCCACTGTACCACCACCTGGCCCCATCTACATACTATTTTTTTTTTCTACCAAACTTTTAATTCTTTCTCCAACGTTTCTTCTTTTCCCTTTTTTGAACTTTCTCCTGGCACTTAGTCTGCAAGCCTCACCTAAGTGGCCCAACCCACACTGCACTAGGGTTGGTGTGAGTACAACATCAGCATGATGTTGCCTCTGTTGCTAGATGACAGTCTGTGTGTTTAGAAGTGCTGCCTCAGGTCATCTGGACCTGTGTAAAAACCCTTATTAAAGAGAGTCCTAGTTATACTGTTGGCGTTGATGGTGGTGGTGGAGCAGGCTCTCCATGCCTCATTTTCCTGAGAGTCAAGACAAGCGACATCTGACATCCATTGGCTCAGAATAGCCTCTTCTCTGACTAGGAGGCTGGAGGCCACTTAAAAGGCAGTCTGCTTCAATCAGGAAACAGGACAGAAGTGAATGCCCTGAGAGAGTGAAGAGGCCAGCTTTGTGAGGGTCTACCCTCCTAGCTGTTGAGATTCGCTCCCTGCCAGAGAGCTGCAAAGTTGTTTGACTCAGTGCTTTTGCCCTCCTACCCCTGTTCAGCCCCCTCACACCTCACTCCACTCCATGGATGTGTGGAAGGATTGTGCGAAGTCGAAGAAACTTCTCAATTCTGTAGAGGTATCCAGGCGAGGTTTCTCCCTCTCCTCTGGAAAATGTACTTTGCCTATTTCAAGAATGTCCCAACCATTTCTTGTTTCAGAGATGACTTAATGTGCTTCATCTCTTTCTTTGGACACAAGCGTAAAGAAGATACTCTGTTCTTGGGAACCAGCAGTTAGCATAATGGCCATGTCGCTGGACTCCCACATAGGCGACCGCGGTTCGCGTCCCGGACCCAGTGGCTTAAAACTCACGCCGGGCGCGTGTGCGTGCGTGCCCAAGATCCCGAGAGGAGAACAGAGGAGAAGGGATTGCGGCGTGACCATCCCCTCTGGGGGATGATTTCTTGCTTTCTGTCTCTCTGTCTCTGTCTGCCGAGCGGTGCGCTCCCTATAGCAAAAAAATCTCTCCAAAAAAAAAAAAAAGATACTCTATTCTTGAAGAAATGTTTATCCCTGTTTAAAGCCTTTCTTCCATATCCTCTGGAAATTTGGGCAACAGGCATCCATGTTGCTACTCCCTGGCTTTGTATTAATTAATCTCCCATATCTGCCCTGGTTTGTCTGGGTGCAACTGGAGCAAGAGGCCAAGTTCTTCTACCACTATCACGTGACAGGGTGGTGTGAGGTCGTGTGACACATTGGTATGGGGATCATGTGACAATGTGACAGGAACAAAGAACAGGAGACTGAGCGCTTCAGCAAACAACTATCCAGGAATGAAAGTGGTTTATTTATGATTTTTAGCCTATTTATCTGTTTCTTATTCTCAAATTTAGAAGCTGTTTGCCTAACATGATTTTAGAGACCCAGAAACAATCCATCAACTATGTACCTTCAGTACAACCTGGGGCTCACCGGGTGAATTAATTAATAGTGGTTAATTAACACTTTGAAGGCCTTTTATTAAAGGGGCCATCTAAACCCAAAGTACTACTGTAATCGGGCCTAATGAGGTCAATGATTTAAAGAGAGGGTTTTAACCATATATAAAGCTCCTCTACCTATTTGGTCCAGACCAAAGGTAAGAAGAGGCAGGTGAGTCTACAGTTGGCCTTTAAAACTCCTTCACAGCCGCACACCACGCAGGACCTGCTCAGTTGAAGCCAGGTGCCCAGTGACCTACCATGTAAGGGATTCTCCAACTGTTAAACCTGTGTTACAGGAAAAAGGCTACTGCTTTGTACAAGTGTGACGCAGTTTGCTGCAGAATACAGAAGACTGTCTCAAACAGAGAGAGGACCCTGATCTTCTCTGCGAGGTTGCAAACCAGGTTAGTGCTGCTTTCTTGTATCTTATCAGACTTACAAGTTGTTATTTGAATGAAGCAGAGAAGCATTGACTGAGGAAGAAACAGGACTCTCTCTCTCTCTCTTTTTTTTGGAAGAGATTTTTTTCCTATGCGCTCACTGGAGAGACAGAGAGAGACAGAGAGACAGAAAGCGAGAAATCACCCCCTAAGGGAAATGACCACAATCCCTTCTCTTCCATTCTTCTCCCGGGATCTTGGGCACACACGAACATGCACACACACATGCCCCTGGCATGAGTTTTAAGCCGCCAGGTCCAGGACTCAAACCACGGTCAACCACATGGGAGTCCAGGGACATAGCATTACGCCATCGGCTGCTCCCGCAAACCTCTCTTGAGTCAGGTTTTCTGATGTTTTCTTTTGCTTTCTTTTCCCTAAAGAAATTGTAGCACCAGAAGGGGACCAAAATTATGGGGCCACCAAGGTCAGAGATGGAATGGGAGTGTGTGGGGGTAGCACACATAAAATGTGGATGGACCCTTGTCAGTATGAGTTTGGATTAAAATGAGTTGGGAGTTTATTTTTTTTTGTGATGAGAATAATATAATACTGGGAAATAGGTATTGAATTGAAAATGACTCAACTTTTTTTTTTTTAAATCAAAGAAACTTTCCTTTAAGAAACTTTCAAGTTTTATAATTAACTTGATTCTATTTCAGATCAGAATAGGTCCTGCAGGATAAGATTCACCACCATGCTACCCTCTGTCGTGTTTTGGGGACTCATTGCCCTCATTGGTAAGTCATTGGTTGGATGGCCCAGCCTCCACTGGTTAACATTTAGCATTGTTTACAAAGTGTCCATAAAAACACCCAGCAGAGTCACCAAGCAGAAAGAGAAATGATTACACGTAAGGGAGGAGTGTGCTCCCCTCTGACAAGCCTGGCCATTATTCAGCTGCCCCTTCCTGTCTTCCTTCCTTCCTTTCCTCTTTCCTTTATTTTATCCTTCCTTCCTTCCTTTCTTCTTTATTTTATCTTCCCTCCCTTCCTTCCTTCCCTCCCTCCCCCTTTCCCTCTCTTCCTTCCTTCCTTCTCTTCCTCCCTCCTTTCCCTGCTTTTTTCTTTCCTTCCTTATTGCCAGAGGGTGTGTGTGCTTATAGAACAAGAAGGGATAAAGGAGAGGCAGAGAGCACTATCCTTCATAAAACGTGGTCACTCCACAATTCCTTCAATTCTTCATCCTGTTGGGATTTGGGGCATGCATACACACACACTTAGCATAGTTTACAAACGGCTGGGACCAGGATTCAAACCACAGTTGGCCATGTGGTACCTGGCTCCCTTAACCAATAGACCATGGGGTGAGCCTAATTATTTTTATTTCTATCATTAAGAGCATATTCTGCTTCCCAAACAAGTAAAGACAGTATCAGTGGGAATTTAAAATAATAGAATATTAATTGACTTACTTCCTGTGTGACAATGCATATACTGGAATTCACACTGCATCAAGAGTTACAAGGAACAGGGCCTTAGGAGACAAGACACAATGAAGAGAAAGTGATCAATGACAGTCAGTAGATACGAGTTGAAAAACCCTAGTTTCTAAGTTTAGGAGGAATAGCTCACAACCACCCAGGATATTCACAGAGGCTTTTTGGGGAGACATGAAAGTTGAAGAATGCTTGGACTGCCCAGCCTCCAGAACTGTGAGCTAAATAAACCTCTTTCCTTCATAAATCACCAAGTCTCAGCTATTCATTTTAACAGCAGAAAATGGACCAAGACACAATTTAAGCAATGATCTCTCACAGGCTTCATGTGAATTATCGTTCTGCCTCCCAGGCACTTCCAGGGGCTCGTACCCTTTCACCCACTCAATGAACCCTCACCTGCATCCTCGCCTATACCACGGCTGCTATGGGGACATCATGACCATGGAGACTTCTGGGGCCACCTGTGACGTGAACAGTTTAATCAGTTGCGGTAAGTGAAAAGCAAAACAGACATGTAGCTTTCCCTTTATCATTATTTCCACATTATTTCTTAAGAAGTAACTTAATTTTGAAAGGTGTAATTATTATGAACAGTATCAAAATTTTAAAACCAGAAAAAAAAAACAACCCAGAATCCAGGCCAAGCTAACAAACTATTTATTTTTGTTTTTCCCCAACTCTTTCTAAACTCTGTCCCGGTGTGTTTATTTCTAAGTATTGAAGTTATTGCTTAAATAAAATACTAAATTCTGGCTTTATGTTTTGTTTGTTGTAGTGCTTCCTTCATGTTATGACATGATCATTTTCAAGCCTCTTGCTCTTTGTACTTCTCTTTTTTAAAAATTAATTAATTTCTGAAAATTAAAAAAAATTCATTTACATTCATTCCCTAAGCATCGTCACAGCATACAAAATGTGATTTCCCATCCAGAATATACTGCACAGTGACTTAATCATGCATGTTATCATCAATAATTTTCCATTTCTAGTTGATATATATGTGTATATATATGTGTGCTTCCTCTCTTCTGTAATCCTGTTCCAAAGTTGTCTTCCTGATGTTATCATGGTAATTTGGGGTGTCAGAGCTGGAAGCAACCACGAGGTCACATCTAAAATCCTACCCTTCAATTTACAGATCAGAGCACTGAAGCTCAGCGAGGAGGAAAGCGTTCCCAAAGGCACACAGCTAGGTGGTGGCCGAGCCAGACTAAAACTTAAATGTCTATCATACAATCCTGAAGAGTCTTCTCAATGCACCCAAGTGGCAGAAACGAGGAGATGGAAAAAAAGCACCTTTTGAGGGTTTTGGACCTGATAGGGTTTCAGCAGTCAGAGATCCCAAGAGTGTCTTAGGATGCTTGACCAAGCTGTGGATAGCAGTCAGGGATTGTGACTTATTTAGTAACCTTTGAGGAAGGGGTCTCTTCTGGAGTAAGCACAGTTTCTTTTCTATTGACTAAGGCATCCGTGGTTCTGAAATGTTTGCCGCGATGGATCTGAGGGCCATAAAACCTTACCAGGCTCTGATCAAAGAGGTGGGGCAGAGGCATTGCATCGACCCTGCTATCATTGCAGCCATCATCTCCAGAGAAAGCCACGGCGGAGTCGTCCTGCAACGTGGCTGGGACCACAGAGGACTTAAATTTGGCTTGATGCAGGTATTTAGCCAGAAACTTTCCATCAGTTCCATTTCATCCTTCCTTATAAAACCTTGATCTGAACTGAAAATCATTTTGCAGGTCTTTCAGGCCCCAAAACTCTCTGGCATCTGGCTTGGGGCACTTCAGCATAATTTGTTCTAAGATGTCTTTTTTTCTTTTTCATTTATTTTTCTTATAATTGCCAAAGGGCACATGCACTCACAGAGACAGAGAGGGAGAAGGAGAAAGCATGGCCCTGCAAGGGGCTATGGTCACACCGCAATCTCTTCTCCTTCACGTCTTGAACCTGTTGGGATCTGGGGTACATGCACACATATGCCTGGCATGTTTTTCAAACTGACAGGGCCAAGATTAGAACTGTGGATTGCCATGTGAGATCTGGCTCTTTTAACCATGAGGCCACAGGGCTGGTCCTATTCCTGAATTTATATAACACATCTTTGGGATTTCATCCCAGGCTTATCAGCTATTAGATTATGAGTTCCTTAACTATAGTTCTGTAATAAATCATATGCCCCGTACTGAAATAGAAGAAATATCATAAAGCACCATTAATACAGGTGTCCTCTCGGTGTTCATGAAGAAGTAGATTTCATCCATGTGGATCAAAATAATGTATAATCGAGCCGTACTTGGATCAACTTGCTCTTTTAGGTTCACTGGAGAAAGATCCAAATTACCTAGATATTTGCATTTAGGATCTATTTTAAATTGTCTGTAGAGAAAGACTTCTAGCCTTTCCAGTTGGAAGCAAGTTTTTATTTGAATTAGCTGAAAAATTACTTTTTTACAACTGTCTAGACTTTGGGTGCCAATGATTTGTTTTAAAACAACTTTTCCTCAGGGCCAGCAGGTGGAGTAGTGGTCAAAGTGCTTGACTCCCATGTGGGCAACCATGGTTCAATTCCTAGACATGGTGGCTTGAGCCTCATACCAACTGCATGTGTGTGTGTGTGCCCAAGATCCCAGGAAGAGTATAGAGGAGGAGGGATTGTGGCATGGCTATCCCCTCTGGCTTTCTATCTCTCTGGCAAGTGCACACACCCTATAGCAAAAAATTTCTAAAAGAAGCAAACAAACAAACAAAAAAACTAAAAACAACTTTTTTTATCATTCTTTTTTTGGGAGAGAGTGTACTAGATTCTTAGCTAAAAGTATGCCATGTTCACTTCTCCCAAACCTGTATTTGTTTCTCTCTCTCCTTTCTGTGAAGGAAAGGACAGCAGAATTGACTCTTTAGGGATAAAGGAAAGGTGGGGTGACAACATTTATGAACTTGAACCCAGGGAGGAGAGATTAGGAACAGCAGAGAAATGTGTTGCTTTATCTAGATGCTGACATTATTATCTGAATTTTCTAGCTTGATAAACAAACTCACCACCCCATTGGTGACTGGGACAGCAAAGAACACCTTTCACAAGCTGTTGGGATTCTAGCAGACAGAATTAAGGCAATCCAGAAAAAATTCCCCACATGGAGTGCGGCTCAACACCTCAAAGGTAGGCCATTATCTATAGTGCTTTGTGTACATGAGCTGTGAATGAAGCCACTGAAGGCCACATGTGCCCTGGGCCTCCTGGCAGCATCCTCCCTGGGTCAGCAGTGAACCCGGGAGGAGCTTCTGAACGCTGCTCTGGAGTTCTGTGTACCATGAGTTACTTTGGGTGGTCTATCATTCCCCAACTTCCATTTCCCCTCTTGTACAGTATTGGGGTTTTTATTGCATCTCTCATCTCTCCTTTGAGCTATTAAGTTATGCCTTGAGTTAATGCAATAATGTAAAATAATATGCTTGCGTTCCTCTCATAGTATTTTCCTGATAAAAGAAATGGTTAATCACTTCCAAACTGCTTGAACAAACCTTTTCTTTGTGACATTCTTGGGGATTTGGGTACCATGACAGATTTCTGCTTGGCTGGGCCAAGTGGAGATTTCTGCTTGGCTAACCACGGGCCCTCTCGAGTTCAGCAACTTCTCGATGAAATTAATTCACTAGCTTCCCACTCTATGTGTGCTCTTCCTTTTACATCTTCTGTGTCTTTAGAGGCACTTGAGTACAGACAGGAAACCAGGTTGTTTTCTCAGGTTCTCTGGTTCCCACTCCCTTCACTTTCAACCACATCTCTTCATATTAAGTTTACTTCCTATAGATCCATGATACACATATACCTTCTCTCCTCCACATTTAAAAATTATTTAATTTTATTTGTTCTTCTTATTATTTTTAATTTGTTATAGGACACGTGTGTTCATCAGAGAGAGAGAGAGACACAGAGAGAGGGAAAGTGAGAAAGCAAGCTGCCAGGTCCAGGACTTGAACTGCGGTTGGCCATGTTTGAATTCAGCATTTTAACCGCCACACCACCTGCTGGTCCCATCTCATTCCACATTTTAATGGTTTTAATTCAGAACAAATAGTTTCTATATTTTCTTTTCTTTTCTTTTTTTTTTTAGAAGTTCTTGCCTTAAGGCTTGTGTGCTCACCAGGGAGAGAGACAGAGAGACAGAGGCAGTGAGAGGGAAAGTGAGAACTTACCGCCCATGGGGGATGGCCATGGCACAATCCTTTCTCCTCCATTCTCCTCCTGGGATCTTGGGCATGCACGCACACAGACCTGGCCTTTGTTTCAAGCCATCGGGTTCAAGACCTGAGCCACAGTTGACACATGGGAATCTAGTGACATAACCACTATGCCATCTGCAGGCCCTAACAGTTTCTATTTTCCATTTTAAGGTCTTTGAAGGCAGGAATCAAGACCAGGGGTCTTTTTCTCTTGACATTAGAGCAGAGCACAATTCTGTTAAACATATAGATAACTTTTTATCTTAATGTTTCATTTACTCTTAATTAACATACAATAATTGAGCATGTTTGTGGGGATGTAATATGATTTTTCAGTACATGAATACAATATGTGACCATCAAATCAGAGAAGTGGTATACCCGCAATCTCAGCGATTTTACTTTGTGTTGGGAAGATCGGAAATCCTCCCTTTTAGCTACTCTAAGACATACAGTGAGTTGTTAACCTCATTCTCCCTGTTACCATTGATAACACTAGACATAGTTCCTCTGATCTATCTGTAATTTGTTTCTGTTAATCAGCATCCCTCTATTCCCGCTGCTCCAACTTTCCCAGCCTCTAGTAGTCATTCTTTATTTTTTTTGGGAGAGGTTTTTGCTATAGGGCGCGTGCGCTCGCCAGACAGACAGAGAGAGACAGAGAGACAGAAAGCGAGAAATCACCCCCCAGGGAGGATGGCCACGCCGCAATCCCTTCTCCTCCATTCTCCTCTCGGGATCTTGGGCACGCGCGCACACGCACCCGGCGTGAGTTTTAAGCCACCGGGTCCGGGACGCGAACTGCGGTCGACTACGTGGGAGTCCAGCGACATAGCCATTACGCTAACTGCTGGTCCCTAGTAGTCATTCTTCAACTCTCTACTTCTAGCAGGTCAATTTTTTCAAGTTATACACATGAGTGAGAACTTGTGGTATTTTTCTTTCTGTGCCTGGTTTATTTCACTTAACCTAATATCCACCAGGATTGCCTATGTAACCTTTAATGATTGGATTTGTCCTTTTAAATGATCAAATGATATTTCAATAAATGACTACTATAGATAAATTCCAGGGTAAAATAGCACAAGCATATACATATATATATACATGCATATGCAAGCATACTTCTATGAAGAAACTGATATGTCTTAGGTACCTCGTACTCATTGTGGGTATCTTGTACTCACCTGGCACACAGTTGGTGCTTTAAAACATTTAATGGGGGGGACCAACAGTTGGTGTAATGGCTATGTCGCCGGACTCCATGTATTCGACCTTGGTTTGAGTCCTGGACCTGGTGGTTTAAACTCACGCTGGGCACATGTGTGTGCATGCCCAAGATCCTGAGAGGAGAATGGAGGAGAAGGGATTGTGGTGTGGCCATCCCCCCCTGGGGGGTGATTTCTCGCTTTCTGTCTCTCTGTCTTTCTCTGTCTTCCTGGGGAGCGCATGCACCCTATAGCAAAAACCTCTCAACAAAACAAAACAGAACATTTAATGGGGCTTGCTTTTCTTACTTTCTCTCTCTCTCTCTAACTCTATCCCTCTCTGGTCAAACTAAAATGAATAAATAAATGAATAAATAAAATTAAATAAAATAATTCTTTAAAAAAAAGGGGTGGGGTCAGTAGGTGGCATGGTGCTAGAGGTTAAGGGTGCTAGAGTCCCATATAGCTCAAACTGTGGTTTGAGTCCTGGACCTAGTGGCTTGCTTTCTCATTTTCTCTCTCTTTCTCTCTAACCCTATTCCCCTCTGGTCAAATTAAGATAAATAAATAAATTGGGACCAGCAGTTGGCGTATCGGCTATGTTGCTAGACTCCCACGTAGTCAACTGAGGTTCGAGTCCCAGACCGGTAGCTTAAACTCATGCCAGGCGCATGTGCATGCATGCCCAAGCTCCTGAGAGGAAGATGGAGGAGAAGGGATTGTAGCATGACCATCCCCCTGGGGGGTGATTTCTCGCTTTCTCTCTCTCTGTCTCTGTCTTTCTGGCAAGCACACACACCCTATAGCAAAAACTTCCTCCAAAAAAAAAAAAAAAGATAAATAAATGGATAAAGTTAAATGAAATAATTCTTTAAAAGAAAAAGGCATTTAATGGGGGTCCGCAGGTGGCATAGTGGCTAAGATGTTGGACTCCCATATGGCTGCCCATGGTTTGAGTCCTAAACCTGGCAGCTAACTTTCTCACTATCTCTAGTCAAATTAAAATAACAATAAATAAAATTACAAAAATTTTTAATGAATGAATGCATTATTGAACAAATAAGACTATTATAAGCATTCTCAGACTTCAGCTCTATTAGCAATCTAGTTGTGTCGGGCTTAGATAACATAAAAATCAAATTTAGGGACCAGCAGATGGTGTGATGGTTAAATCGCTGGACTCTCATGTAGTCGACTGTGGTTCTAGTCCTGGACCCAGTAGCTTAAAACTCATGCCAGGTTTGTGTGTGTGCATGCCCAAAATCCTGAGAGGAGAATGGAAGAGAAGGGATTGCAGCGTGGCCATCTTCCCTGGGGGTTGATTTCTCACTTTCTGTCTCTCTGTCTCTCCAGTAAGCACACACACCCTATACCAAAAACTCTCTCCTAAAAAATAAGAAGCAAATTAAACTCTTGCAGCAAGAAAAACAAAAGACTTCAAAAAAGAGAGAGAACAAGAAGGCAACCTAGAATTTTCCTAGAGTCTTAGGTAGCACATTCTTTTAGTAAGGGAAGGCGGGAAGGACAATGTAGGACCTCCTGCTTTGGAAGATTTGCCTGCAGGGATGATATCCTGATAATGCTCATATCTTACTTCTTCTGACAGTTCATATTTCAGTCTAACCTCTGTGTTTCATTGCAGGTGGTCTCTCAGCCTATAAGTCAGGAATTGAAGCTATTGTCACCCCTGCGGACATAGACAATGGTTTGGCCAATGATATCATTGCCAGAGCTAAATTCTATAGAAAACATGGCTACTAAACAAAGCTCTGAGGGTGGGCTGGTTGACAAGGTTCTCATCCGGCCACTGTTTGAGAGCTTGATATGAATATGTTGTACCTAACACTATCCAAGAAATGGCTAAAGTTATGAGAGAAATTTTATTTACCAATTTACTTAATTAAAAAAAAAAAGAAAACTTTTTTCCTGGTTTACAATAATGAGTCCCATGAAAAGTACTATACATATAATTGCTTTGTAGTAAATATGAATATTATAGCAAGTGATATCCACACATTCCAGTGAGGCCTCCTTCTAGCCCATGATATCAAGGCCCACCTACTCTCTGTCTTACTAGAATTGTTAACAAGATGTTAAGGGAACCTGACCTGGGCCTTTGTCCTTTTCCCAGTATCAGCTCAAACCACTAGGGCTTTGCTTATGAGACGTTCCTGACTCCTAAGCCAGTCAACCCATGAGATAGCAGAGAGGGTAGGAATGGAATTCTCGCTTCATAGGTAGCCGGGAGCCGATTAAGATGAAGCTGATCCTCCTCAAGTGTATACCACACCTCTCAGGCCCACACCAACCTCCTGTCTTCTTTTCTTTTCTGAAGATCCAGGAACTGACCTCTCCTCTTCTGTTTTCAGCAGTTTCTGCCATACACTCTCTTTCAAGGGTTCACTCCCCACAAAACATAGCTGAAGATAATAAGCATACATATAAGACCCAAATTAGTTATGGCTCTTCGGCTGCACACAACAGTAGCCAACTCTGGAGATTTTAAGCAACAAAAGGAAATTACCGGAAAGCTATCAGGAGGTTCATAGAACCAACTGAGTAGATGGAGGACATGAAAAAAAAACAAAACAAAACAGGTAACACTGGGATCTGGGGAGGAGAAACCATACTAGTTAGCATTTCCACCACATGAATGAATGTGCACTGTCGCTGTGTAAAGTCCAAAGACCTTCCTCCATCCTTTTATTGTTCTGTTTCGCTGTCACAGAACCAGGACATATCTTGGGTCATGTACACACCTACCCCTTGGCTCTTTTGCTCTAAGGTCTTGCACTATCCAAATGGAGAAGCAATAAATATCCAGCAGGAAACCACGTGCTGTTTGTGGCTTTTACTTCCATAGTCGGGAAAGGACACACACAATAATATGTTGAAGTGTAAAGTGCAAGTGAGGTCAAGTCCTGGGCCTTGTGGCCCCTGCCGTTCTTTTAGCTCGCTTCGATGATGTTCAATGAATGTTTCTGCCATTACTTGTCTTTCTGAGAAGGTGTCAAAAATACACACACCTGCCTCTGAGCCCCCTTGGAGAAACCCAGCCTGAAGATCTGAACCAGGCAGAATCAAGAATCCCTGTGGCAGTGGGCTGAGCCAGTGGCCAGCTGGCGAGGCAGCCCTGCAGCAGACAGGCCAGCATCATTTATGGTTAGTGGAGGCCCATGCCTATCATTGTTTAATAATATTCTGATTATTAATTCTGCATGTGGGTGATCTAGGATGTTCTTCCAATGTCCACTTTGCTCAGGCCTTCCCCCACAAACATGTTCATCATCTAATCACCAGCCCGGTCAATGTCATTATGATAACATAAAGTACACCCAGATGAAATCATCTCCAAGCAACGTGAAAAACAAGAACTAGCACGCTGTTTTACAACCTGACTCTGTTCTCCCAGTATTCTCTTCATGTCTGGGATACCAAGAGATGTCCTATGGGAGACTCCATATTCAAGGTGTCTTAATCTGGTTGCTCCAAAAGAAGACCCTGACACAAGAATTCAAATGCAGGAAGTTTATTTTAGAGGTACAAGAAACGCCAGTATGAAGTAGTTTGGTGATACATGGAAAGGAAGATAGTCAATAAAACATCATGCTAGCTACACAGCAGGCACTGGAGCTCAGTCTTGGAGAAAAACTGAGGAGGTGTGCAAAACGGACACCTCAGAATTATTTCCCCCAGGGAACAAGGAGCTGGAGTATTTACATTGACTCCATCAATCCCTGGGAGCCGCTGGTTGAGGAATCTGCCTATAGGAGTCGGGGCTAGGGGAAAGTGTTAATTCTTTGTTACTGTGATCTGTTGTAGGAAGCACACTTTTCTGTATTTTCAAAAAAAGAGGTTGTAGTCACAAAGATGCAGATACTGAAAGTTGGTAACCAACTGAGCATTCTGAAAGGTCCAGGAGTATAGAAGGGCACAGACAGTATCTTCCTCAAAGGGTTCGGGTGCACCTGGGAGTCCAGGACTATGTTACCAACATTGCTTGTTTTCATCTATGACTTAAAAATATGGTAAGAACAATCTGGAAATAATAAATAAGCCTCATCATGCCTCATGATTTTCATGCCAAGCTTTTTCATAGGCTATTAGAATGACTAGACACAATAGAACTCTCCTAGTCTTCAACCTCTTCCTATCTCTAGCCCAACAGCTCATTCCCAAGAATTTACTGAGCATTAAAGATGTCAGGCTTAAGGGGCCAGCAGGTGGCGTGGTAGTTAAGGGACCGAACTCCCACATGGATGACCACTGTTTGAGTCCTGAACATAATGGCTTCCTTTCTCACTTTCCTTCTCTCTCTCTGATCAAATTAAAATAATAATAAATTAAATAATTATTTTAAAAAGATGTCAGGCTTAAATGCGGCACTGTTAAAATTCTTATATCTTTCGCTGTCATCAATTTTCTTTGTAGTTTTTCCTGTGTCCCTGTCAGGGATAATGAATTATTCCATGTCAACACCCTATTGTATAAAACATCACTTCTTTTGATTGTCCAAAACCTAGGTTCTTACTGGAGAATGAAGTAAGATTGTATTATGGTTTTAAAAGAAAAAAAAATTCCCTGGCTAGACTTATTCATGTTCATATTCACATTCTTTTCTTTCTTACCTGCTTTCTTGCCTTTCCCTTTTCTTTTCTCTTCCTTCCTCCTCACTCCCTCCTTCCCTTCCCTTCCCTTTTCTTTCCTTCCTTGCCTTCAATCCCCATAGGCTGAGAACTGCGACACAGTAAGAAACATATTTGGTCTTTGCAGCATTGTTCAGAGAAAGCAAGGTGGGAAGTCTGAGCTTCTGCATCTGTGGCCTCTAATAATGAATGCTCTCTGCTCTCATGTTTAAAGTCCTGGGAGGTACTGGTGCCTTCTAGGTAGGGAAAACATACCCCAGTTAGATTCAATGTCTATTTCCACGATATAATCAGGTAAGCGAGATGTGGCCACTTCCCATAAAGCCTGCTCAAGCATACCAATTCTCCTACAAACGTTTACCTTAATTCTATCAATCCCTACATTCCTAACTGTAGTTCCCATTAGGAATTTTATTAATAAGTTTTGGTTTTACAATACTCAGTAGAGTGTTCCCCAACCAGACATAATATCTATTCTTATAAAACATTCAGGTCAAGGAGATACACCTTCTGAGGTGCTCATGTGGTGGTTAAGGTGCTGGACTCCCACATGGTTGACCATGGTTCAAGTCCCAGACCTGAGGACTTGAACATCACACCAGGTGTGTGTTAGTGCATGTTCAAACTTCTAAGAGGAGAATGAAGGAGAAGGGATTGCAGCATGGCCAGCCCCTCTGGGAGATTAAACCAAAAAGAGAGAGAGAGAGAGAGACAACTTCTGCTCTGTGTTGCTTAAATGTTCCAGTTTCCATAATCTTATCAACCCTGTCTTCTTTACATCCCCTCAGTCTACTTGTAGCTGCATCAGAGTTTCATTAATGGGTTTGGTATCATGGTTCTTAGGATTCCCATAATGAGGAATCCTAGGAACTTCTCCATCCCTTGAACATTTTTCCACTCCTGTACATAAGGTTTGAGGTTCCCAGTCAAGGGTCAACCCAAGGGGCTTTGGCCCATCTGTCAACTTCTTTATCTATTAAACTGCCTAACCACTGTCCCCATGATTGCTGGTCAGGTTTCTCTTTTAAATTTTACCTTCTGGCTTCTTAAATTTCTCTAACCTGGAGTAAATAGTGAGGATCTGTTTGGGGGACTTAATGTTGAAGGATCAGCAAGGGTCCCTGTTGTAGCCAGTGAGAGACAGAAATAGAAAGCAAGAAAGCCCTCTCTCTGGGGCATGGTCATGCTTCAATTTGTTATAGACCATTTCTTCCTCTATTTGGGATTTTGGCTTTGTAAGCCAGTGGGTCCAGGACTTGAACCATACAGTCACCATGTGAGATATAGTCCTCTTAACCATTGGGCCATGGGCTGGCCCTCATTTCATTTCTCTATAACCATCTAGAGACTTCCTCTCTACTGAGACAAGTCCTGTGACTCTCCTTTTCTTTTTTGTACATTTGTTTTACTCCTATCTATTTGCTTTATTCACCTTGTTTCTTAATAACTATTTACAAATTTCCCTCCTGAATAAATCTATGTGACAATCTGGGCAATAATTTATTTTTTAGTTTTGACTCCAAAAAGCAAAGGGAATAAAAGGAAAAATAGACAGATGGAACTAGATCAAAAGGAAAAGCTTCTGCATAACAAAGGAAACGAGAGTGAAGAGACACCTATGTATTAGAAAAACAAATCTATAGGCTTTACATTGAAAAAATATATAAGCAGCACAAACAACTCTATAGAAAGTAAACAAATAACCTAATTTTAAAAAGGGCAAGAGGGGTCACGGGTGGCATGATGGTTAAGGATGCTGGATTCCCACATGGCTGACCGCAGTTTAAGTCCTGGACCAGGCGGCTTGCTTTCTCACTTTCTCTTTCTCTCTCTCGTGTGTGCATGTGCACTCTGTCCATCTCCAGTCAAATTAAAATAAATACACAAATAAAGTTATTTTAAATGGACAAGAGGGACCAGCAGTTAGCATAATGGCTATGTCACTGAACTCCCATGTAGCCGACCGCAATTTGAGTCCTGGACCCGGTGGCTTATACTCACGCCGGGCGCATGTGCATGCATGCCTAAGATCCCGAGAGAAGAATGGAGAAGGGATTGCAGCATGGCCATCCCTCCAGGGGGTGATTTCTCGTTTTCTATCTGCCTCTCTCTCTT